AAAAAAAAAAAAAAAAAAAGAAAGAAAAAACTTGTAAATCAATCTGACCCCTTCTTCCCTCCTCTCCTTTTCTCAAAAAATCATGTGTTTACCCTATTTGGAAAAAGTTTCAGTCAAAGCCAACCTGGGTCGGCTTAGATTGTGCTGTCTGACCCCAGGTAACAGGGCAAGGACACAGAAACAGGAAATCTGTTAGGGTTAAAAACCCCTTCCTGGGCTGGGCGCTGTGGCTGTAACCTGTAGCCCCCCGAACTTTGAGAGGCCAAGGCGGGGTAATTGGAAGGTCAGGAGATGGAGATCATCATGGCCAACAGGTTAGACGCTCATCTCACCACAAAAAAAAAAAACAAAACAAAAACGATTAGCTGGGTGTGGTGCCGCCTGTCTGTAATCCCTGCTACTTGGGAGGTTGTGGCACAAGAACATGAATCCAGAAGGTGGAGGTTCCAGTGAGTGGAGATCTCGCCACTGCATTCCAGCCTGGCAAAAGAGCGAGATTCAATCTGAAAAAAAAAAAAAAAAAAAAAAAAAAAAAAAAAAAAAAAAAAAAAAAAAAAAAAAAAAAGAAACCGTTCCTGGGCAGTCACAGTGGCTGACACCTATAAACCCAGCACTTTGGGAGGCCGAGGCAGGCAGATCATGAGGTCAGGAGTTCTAGGCCAGCCTGGCCAGCATGTTGAAACACTGTCTCTACTAAAAATACAACCTCTGCCTTCTGCGTTCAAGTCATTCTCCTATTTAAGCCTCTCGATTAGCTGAAATTACAGGCATGGGCCATCACACCCAGGTAATTTTGTGTTTTTAGTAGAGACGAGTTTCTCCATGTTAGGCTGGTCTGGAACTCTGACCTCAGGCCCTGATCAGGGTCTGTGCTGACTCTGGGTGGTGTCAGAATTCAAATGTTAGACAATAAGTTGAAGTTGGAGAATTGTTTGATGTTCAGCCAATGCTACAGATTTGGTGCCAGAAAGAAGATGTCATGGAGGCCTGGCCTGGAATAAAACTCTGGTTGTCTGGGAATGGGAGGCTCTGCTCTCCTGTACACAGGCTGTCACACTGCCCATTTTCCTGTGATTCCAGGTCTTCTCTCCAGGTGACAGAAGTCTGAAAACAGAGGAAAGGAGCTCTGATGACAGATCCTCTTTTCTTGCAGCTGCCACCACAGGGTTCCCACCCACTCACAAACACACACAGTAGACAGTGACGTGGCCACACTCCTCTCAGGATTAGGCACCACCCTCAGGAACTTCACCACGGCATTTTTGATCCTAGTGATTCTTGCCAAAAACCCACATGTGTGTCTACAAGTCTCCTGGCATTTCCCCTCCCCCAGGCACTGAATCTGCAGCAGTAAGCTGTGTTCTCCACCAAGCTAGGGTTCTGGACCTGCTTATAATCCTGTTTATACTCTCACCTGACTGCATGCACACAGAAATTAATCAGAGTACAGCCCCACCTGGGCCACTATCTGTAGAAAAAAATCAGTCCTTTCACCTCCACTGCACTCTCTCCCACTTAGGATTTTTTTTTTTTTTTTGAAGACGGAGTTTCGCTCTTGTTACCCAGGCTGGAGGGCAATGGCGCGATCTCGGCTCACCACAACCTCCGCCTCCTGGGTTCAGGCAATTCTCCTGCCTCAGCCTCCTGAGTCGCTGGGATTACAGGCACGCACCACCATGCCCAGCTGATTTTTTGTATTTTTAGTAGAGACGGGGTTTCACCATGTTGACCAGGATGGTCTCGATCT